AATACAACTATTAAATGAATGTTGAAAGCTTGACCTAACTTTCGTTAAATTGTAAGTTAAAGTCCTTATTGCAATACAGCACAAGATGGCCTTGAATTTTATTTTCCCCAAACCTGGGATGCTTCTGTGAGCTTTTGAGCACTACAATAAAACTTACACCCAAAAATATGCACTGTGTTTGGGTTCTCTTTCAAAACACATGATTTAGAACTTAGATTAAGGTCTAAGCAAGTTGTGTAACACCAGGTATTTCATATTTAAGCATTACATTAATTTTGCTTCATCAGTAATTCATCTATGTACAGGAGTGCTCACATGTATGCAAAGGAGTACTGAACTTCATTTCTGTCACACACATCACATAGATTCTGTGATTTTTAACAGCAACACTTGTTTTCCCTTATTCCCATTGTTTAATTGGAACAAAAACAACCTGCAGTCCCACTCACAAACAGCATAAATCTCCCAGTTCAGTAATCTGTTCAGTCGAATTGTTGGAGCTCTGGGGCACTCACTATGAGAACTCAGGCAGTCCAGGAAGTGTTTATAGAGATAAGAGATTTGCAGAGAGAGGAGGGGTGTGGGGTGAAGGGAATGATTCGTGTGGGATTTCAGTGGCTCGGGGCTGCAAAGAGAGCTGCAGGACCACACAGCCTTGGTCCCCTCAGAGGGGCTTTGTCCTGGTTTGAGGTACCAGGGAGACACCCTGAGCACCAGGCTGAAAGGTTTGTCCCATGAGCGTGTCCAAAGGCAGAGTCCTTCACCTGCAGGCAGCCAACAGCAGCACTGGAGCGACATCACATCAGGAATGGCAAACAGGCACTTGGGGAGACGTGAGCACCTTCCACCAGCCCGGAAAACTTGTGATGGGAGAGTTAAAGAAACGCAGAGCGCATTGCGTGGCTTACAAACAAAGGCCAAAGTAAACAAAAAGCAATAACTTATCCCCCAGAAGTCATCGATTTCCCCTATTCTCACACTGGAGTGCTGCAGCGTCAGGAATCTGTGTCCGCAGCCAGCACCAGGAAATCCTGACTCCCGCCGTCTAAAGCTCAACGGGACCATTAACTCCGGCAGAGCAGCACACAGCTGGGAATGAGGCCTGCAGGAGCCTCATGTGGGCAGAAAGAACCCTAGAAAAATGACACTACATGCAAAAGGGCATCAGGCTACGTCCTCTGCTGCTTTGACACTGGGAGAGTGAGCCACAGCTTCAGAGGGCAATGGGCAGGGGGAAATGTGAAACACAGGTCAAGGTGCTGAGAGTTTGAATTGTGGGACATTGGTTTTATGCAGTTACGCAGCAGGGAAAACAGGGGTCTTTCTAAACTGCAAAAATAATCAAGGAAAACTTAATATTAAATGCTTATTAACTAATTAAAGACGTATACAACCAGTTTCCAAATTAATTTTTTCTGGAAAGCTTGGAAACTCTTGGAAGTTGTTGAATCCAATGTCAGAATAGCATGGGAATACAGTGATAGGGTCTGCCTTGTTATGTGCACACGGTGAGCAAGTAATTTAATTTAATGCAAGTACTACAGGAAGTTTCCTGAACCCAGCCAGGGGACACATTCTGATCCTGGAAAGGAAGGTGTTGAAGAAGCACAAAAATTGAATAAATTATTGATTTCATGGTCTCTGTAAAAGTTGCTGAGAACTAGGTAAACAAACTCATTTTCCCAGTAGCATTAATGTAGTGGGAAATGAAAGGATTAGTTTGATTTAACTTGTGACAGAACACTTATAAACCATGCTAAGGGCTTATGCCTTGCAGATGGGGTGTTTTTAAAAGCATATCCTTTCTAGCTGTGTTGCCTTGGCTCTTCAAAGCTGAAAATTTCTAAAGACATTTCAGGGAATCTGGTTTAAATGCCTGCCTGGGGATGTGCAGCTGTCACACAAGTAAGGCTGCCTGAAGCCTTTCAAGAGTGAAGGCAGAAGTCAATGTTCCTTCAATTATGTAGATTAACAGAAAGGATGTGGATATGAAATAAAGGTACCAAAGGGCAGCAGTACAGAGCCCCTAGGATGTCCTGGCTTCTTGATTTGTGTAACTAAACAAGACAAATGTAAAAGCAAGGTTTCCAGGTTTGCTGTTTGGACTTGGCAAATCTCTGCTCAGATACAAAAGGATGTAAAAGCCTGTCCAAGTATTTGGAACAAGCAGCTATCAAACATAGTCCAGAAGAGATAACTGCGGGACAATAAGGCTGGAAGAAAAAATTCACAACAGGAAATACATGTTTTAAATGCAGGTGTTGTATCTGATTGACCAGGGACGTAAGACTGAGTTCCTACAGATGAAGTCCTTAACTCAGTGTACAGCTGCAGACAAGACCTGCTTTTGAGGTGACAGCAAACACACTGCAGTTTCAAATTTAAAGGGACAGGGTTTTAATTGACTGATTTAAGATACACCTTTAGCAGTGAATCCCATCTTACTGCTTTCCCAGTGCTTTCTCACAATAGTTGGCTCTTCCATTTATACAGCCAAAATGGAATTGCTGAGCATCCAAGACACCCTCCCAAAGTTCACTGCCATCATCTCCTGGTTTTCTTTGGATCCTGCTGTGGTTCTGACATAACAGCTTACAGAGCTATCTAGACACAGGTGGCCATGATTTTACATGATGAGATAGAAAAGGTGATACAAAGCTCTTACTTGGGCAGTTTATAGTAGACCCTCATCTTCTCTACAGCAGCTGCCTGGACACAGGCTAATGCATGGGGATCTTTAAATCACTCATCTGTGTTCTGCACATGGCCCAGCAGCAAGGCAGAGTGCTGGTGGTTTTACTCTGCCACCAGATTGTCCCAGGCTTTGCCTTGCTTTGTCAAGGAACCAGATGTACTGGGGACTAGCAGGCATGATGTCCCCTGCTGCTCCTCTCTGCTAGCTGTGTGCAACAGGGCACCCAAACCCTGCCCTTATTTTTGCCCATTTCTCCTATTCTAATTCAATTCAAGTTGGCATCTTATCTCCAAAGCCTCTTCAGGTAAGTCCTGACAAAAGTCCTCAGCTGAATTGCAGATACCTCTAATGTCCTGATCACCTCAGGTCACGTTTTCTCTGGTGCATTCTGTCTGAAAGGTCTCCACCTCAGCACAGGGAGAGTTACAAGAAACACATGCCTAAGGTTCCATAGCCTGTGGCCTGCTGTGGCACAGCTGCTAATTTCCCACTGCTCATCCTGGAGACTTTAACCTATGTCCACCTTAGAGCTGTTTGGATTCTTTTGGATTTTTTTGCTCTGTTCACAGAGCAGCCAGCCTGGCTGTGCTTCCTTGCCACATCTGCAGAACAGGAAATGTCCCTGTATCTCACAGAGGAGAGGGCAGAGGCCACTGTTTGTGCAGTGCATTGAGAGGATTAAGAGGACCAACACCAAAGCTCTTCCATGGTGCTCTGAATAAAACCAGAGCCCGGTGACTGGGCCCAGCAGAACAATCTATGCCATTTTTGTGTGGAAGAGCCTTCAGCCTGACTCTCCAGTCAGCAATGGCCTGCTCCTACCCCATCACCCTGCAAACTGCTGTGTTCATTGGCATGCTCCCCTGTTTATTTAGGTGTGACAGGTTTCCGTTGTTATTTGGATCAAACCTGCCTCATTATGTTCATTCCAAGCACTGCTTGTGTGCTGTTTTGTTGACATCTCCTAGGCATGCAGGGCACCAAGGAGATTAATAACATTCATCCAAATGTTTTTGCAAAGGTCGGTACAAGAAAGAAATACTGGTTCTGACCTTGCAGACTTGAGATACAGATAAGAGGCATTTGGAATGTGAAGGGACTTAAAGTCTTATTGCAGCAAGGGGAGAATGTCACGAGCCACAGGATTTCAAGCTGGTTTTCTTTTCTGGGGCTCAGTGCTACTCCCTGTAATGCAAGACCTCAGGGCAGAACTGCTCTGTGCAGTTGCAGCCTACAAAGGAGGGTGGTTGAGCACTGCAGAAAAAGCCTCATGCGATGAGTCTCTTCACAGCATCACCTCGCCATCATCTTCAACACACAGACTGTCCAGTTCTGTTCATCTTTAATCTTTGCTTTTCACTTGCAGTAACCTGGGGAGTTATACTGGGACACTGACACACACAGTAATACTTTGGGATCTGAGTGTTCAAAACCTTGCAAGAGGTAGAGCAGGAACAACCACAGCAGATTTTAACTCTCTGGAGCCAGAAAGGTCATCATTTACCTGCTCCCTAAGAAGAACCTGTGCTGGCACTCACAATAATGTATATTAAAGAAATATAAAAGTAACCTAACTTTGGAGAATAGAATTGAAAAGGAGGAAGATGTATATGCCAGGCTCTGGATGGGTTTCCAATGGGTTCAAATGGGTTCAAATGGGTTCCATTTCTGCTGATTCCGGCAGCATCAGGAGGCCCCAGGAGCTTCTGTATTTCAGGACTAAACATTTAATAGTGCAGTTGCATGTACTGATGATTTGACTACTACACACAGTGGGTCCCCATCCTCAAATATCAGCCCTTCCATTGGCTCTGTTCCCAAATGCCAAGGGGGGTCCAGCCTGCCTGAGTCTGAGCATACATGGCACAGCACTCACGGAACTGAGAGGCTTCTGACTGACCCCATGAAGGCCACCTTTGGGGAGCTCTTGGGGGCAACGTCTGAGTTTTGCACAGCTGTGTACCTGGCTCGAGAAGTGAAGCTAGCTTATAGCTGCCAAATAAATTCAGACATATCAGACCCCCAAACTCAACCAGCCTAGAAGTGAAACAAGTCCCTGGATGGGGCAGGGATGAGTTAGATTCAGACCCAAGCAGGGACTTCTGCCAGTCATGTTCAATCCAGAAAGCAGACATATCACTGGTCAAGGAGCTGACCAATCCATTCTCTAGACCTGGAAGTTTTGAACCAGCTATAAAAGTAGGTTCTGAACAATAAAACAGGCTGTTTGTCTGATGACCAAGAGGACTCAAGTCGTGGTTTCTGTCTCCCACCCATGACCAGCATGTAACACATGGTATCTTACCTGAGGACACAGCCGTTCCCGCAAGCAGAGCAGAGGGGAGAGAGAGGACAGGGTGTGCAGAGCCCATCCAAAACAGCAAAAAGCTGGAAAAAACAGGCAAGGAGAGCCTGACCTACAGCAAAAGAGCTGGAAAAAACAAAGGTGAGTAGAGCCCAAGCTACAGCGAAAAGTTGAAAATAAGAAGCATGTGGAAAAATGCCGTCTAAAATTTACAGCGAGGAGAGCTGTTTGTGGTGAAAAACCACACAAAATCCAGAATTATTTTTTTTTGGACTTAGCTTTAAAAGTAGAAGAAAACAATCATCAGAGCCATGGGAGGATGGATATCAGTGCAACAACACCTAGTTTTGAAGGTATTTTCTTGTTGTAAAAGAAGTTATTTTATTTTACGAGAATGGAGGTAGAAGATGATAAAGATGGCTTTAATAATGTGGGCTAAGGACCACAGATTGGACACAACCAAAGAGGCTGCCCTTGATATAGATAAATGGGAGCAAACAGCCTCCACAGGCAATGAAAGCACAATAAAGTTATAAAGCCCTGGAAATTTATTTTGGACTGAAATAATGAGCTAACTGGGCACTGAAGGAGATAGTGGGAGGTTTGGGCACCCTTCCAAGCCCACGGAGGGGGAAGCAGGATGAAATGGCTGCTGCATGGGGCTGTGCCGCCCTGAATGTGCCCCTTGCCCCAGAACCACTTTTTAGTGAGCTGTTTCCCACAACCCTACCATGGCACAGTGCACAAGTGGCTAGCAGTACCACAGCGGGCCAACAGACAGCGGCATGTGGCAATGAGCCAAACTGCACAATCCCACCGCGTGGCTGGATCCCGCTGGACAGTGGTGCACGGCGGGGCGGCAGAGCCCCGAGCTGCGCCGATGCTGCTGCAGGCAGGGGAACTACGACATGCAGCGAAGGCATGGCTGCGCCAAGGAGGTGCTGCGAGGCGCCAGAGCATCCAGCAGCCGCCCTAAGCACGCTGAGCTGCCGCCAGGCGTCGGAGAACGCCGCCATTTTGGCACCGTAGCCCATGGCCACGAGGCAGCTCCATGCGGCTCCGGGGACCGCCCACTGCCACCAGAGCCACCCACACCCCTCAGCGCCATGGAAACGCCTGGAGCGGCCCTGCCCAGAGCTGATTGGCTCAGCCCAGAAACCACGCCCACAGTCCCGCCTCTGCTGGCCACGTCCACCTGCCGCTGCTGTGTGAGGGCAGGGCCTGAGATGACGTCACTTCGAGTCCCTGGATTTTGTCCCTGTGTCATACCTGGAAGTACACCGGAAGCAGGAAGTTACATCCTGGCACCAGGCCCCAGGCCCAGCCCCGCGCCCTCCGCTGCCACAGCCTCAACGCCTCTGCAGCCAAGGCTCCAACAGCCCCAAGGAACCACACCGCTGATGGAAACACGAGATCCCCTCGGACACAACCAAAGTCTTCAACCTACCACCAGCCCCAGAGAGCAAGTCTGCACCCCTGCCAACAGCAGCTCCAACCTCATTGATATTCCAAGCAGAAACCATCCCCACTCGAGATCTGGTAATATTATGGATGGAGATAAAACAAAAGGCGATTGAAAGCCGGGATATAGAGGGGGCTTATCTGATTTCTGCACCCATGTCTTTACCATCACAAGAGGGCTGGCAGCAGGGAGGGGGAATAATTGGAGCATTCCCAGTTTGCAATGGCACAACACCTGACAAACATGTACCCTTTAACTGGCAAATCCTTTCAGAGCTACGCCAGCTGGCTGCTAAATACAGACTAGGGTCGCCTGCTGTTGCGAATATGCTTCAATTTATAACTTCTAATTAATTAGCTCCCTATGATACGAAGCACGACGCAAAATTAATCTGTACTCCATATGATGTTTAAAACAGCCTGGAGGTCCTATGCAGAGAACTGGACATTGAAAAATTAAAGATCTTCACAGCATGATCCATGTTTTGGGGCAGGGATACCTCAACTCATGGGAGTTGTACCCCATGGAAGATCCACAAACCGAAGCTCACTTGAACTCCTCAGTACTATCCCAAGTGAAGAACTTAGCAATGCAGCCTCTAACAAAAATTACAAACTTGTCTGTGCCAACCCAAAGCTATTCAAGACAAAACTCCAACAAATTATATAAGCAATTCATAGAACGTTTGCAGGATGCTATGGAAAGGCAGATCACAAGCAGTGAAGCAAGGGGTAAATTAATGCTACAATTGGCACGAGATAATGAAAACCAAAACTGTAGTAAAATTATAGATGCATTGCCTAAAGAGAATCCATCTCTAGAGGATATGATAAATGCATGTGCTAATGTTGGGACTGGATCTCATAACATGGGTATGTTAGCTATTATAGCTAATGCTATTACAGCTGCTGTTACACTACACCCCATTGCTACAGGTGTGGACAACAAGGCCAGGTGAAGGTAAACTGTCCCCACAGACCCATTCCACAGGGGTCATCTCAAGGACAAAGAAGTGGTAATGCAAGCTGCAACTGATGTGGGAGAGTCAGACATATGGCCAAGGTATGCTGGTCTAAATCTCATGTTAGCGGACAATTTCTCAAAGAGCAGGGAAACAGGAAGCCCGGTATGAAGGGGAAACATGTGACAACACAGGTATTTTCCCACCCTCCAGGACAAGCCTGCATGACCAGCTCACAGCAAAGACAAGAGGATCAGCTGGTATGGATATTTCCACCTCAGTCCCAATAACCATAAAATCTTTACAGGTACATAAAGTCCCTCTCGAGGCCCAGGGGCCCATAGGGCCATAGGGAAAGGACTGAGTGCACTGCTAATAGGGAGATCCAGTGCAACTTTACAAGATACCTTGGTGCACCCAGATGTTATCAACACTGATTCTACAGGACAAATACAAGCCATGGTGTCAACCCCTACTGTCCCTGTGACTATCCCTGCTGAGACCCGAATTACATGACTTACTCCTTTTTAGTCTTCTGTCCCCAGATGCTATGGAGTGAGGAGACCAAGGCTTCGGATCAACAGGACATCCCCAAATGTATTAGACTCAGGTCATGGGTGATCAAAGACCAGCGCTGGTGAGGCCACACCTTGAGCTCTGTGTCCAGTTCTGGGCCCCTCAGTTCAGGAAGGATGTTGAGACACTTGAGTGTATCCAGAGGAGGCAACGAGGCTGGTGAGGGGCTTGGAACACAAACCCTGTGAGGAATAATTGAGGGAGCTGGGGGTGTTTAGCCTGGAGAAAAGGAGACTCAGAGGTGACCTTATCACTCTCTACAACCTCCTGAGAGGTGGCTGTGGGCAGGTGGGGGTCAGCCTCTTTCACCAAACAGCAACCAACAGAACGAGAGGACACAGCCTCAAGTTGTACCAAGGGAAATTTAGGTTGGATGTTAGGAAAAAGTTCTTCATGGAAAGAGTCATAAAATACTGGAATGGTCTGCCTGGGGAGGTGGTGGAGTCACTATCCCTGGATGTGTTTAAAAAAAGACTGGATATGGCACTCAGTGACATGGTTTAGTTGAGGTGTTAGGGCATCGGTTGGACTCGATGATCTTGAAGGTCTCATCCACCCCAGTGATTCTGTGATCTGTGATTCTGTGGAAGACCCAGTGTGGTTTGTATTGTTACGATGCCTAAGGCGAGGCCCTCGCAGCTAAAAGTGAGTGGCATGATTGACACAGGGGCAGATGTCACCATCATCTCATCAATACATGGCCTTCATCCTGGCCTACCACACCTGCAGGATCTGCTATTGCTGGCCTCAGAGGGACCACACAGAGCTGCTTGAGTAGCAACCCCGTCTTGATCAAAAATCCAGAAGCCCAAACAGCTACAATTTGACCTTATATCACTGCAGCACCACTGAATGTGGGGGAGGGATATTCTGTCTGCATGAGGAGTCTGGGTGATAACAGATTTTTGACTTAGTAGCTCAAAGACAATAATTTTTAATTGTACACCAAGATGTAAACTTTAAAACCTAACTGAAACAAATGTTTCCTCTGGTAGTTTTCAATTGCTTTGTTTATAACAAAAAGGTAAATAGTAATTTCAAAGGAGTTGCATACATATATATATATATGGTAAAGTTATAGTTATTTACAAGTTTTATATATATCATTAGTTATTTAGCTAAGGATAGATAACAAAGCCAGATGTTTTATGAGTTATTACCGAAAAATTCCTTTTGAAGAAATGGTAGGGAAGCCTTCCCAGTCTGGGTCTTAGTTCTGGCCAAACCTGTGACCTTAACTGGGAGGGGAAAATATGCTATCAAACCCAGGTGTTTCTGTGCTAAAAATGAAAGCAAATCACTTTGACTAGCTGATTCGGCTTTGCAAAAGCTGAACCCCTTTCCTTGGAGATAAACATGGAGGCTTTGTCCAGAAGAAGCCTTTCAAGTCCTCATTGCAAAAAGGACACTCCTCAGCAATGGCAGACACTGGGCGATAGTAAAGCATATAAGCAGTTGTAAGTTCCACCTTGTTAATTTTGTTCAAAGGTCCATGTTTTGTTCCTGTTGTAGTTGTTGAAACAAGGAAGGGAGAGGAAGTATGGGGTGCACACCTCCCCCCTCAAAAGTCTTGGGTACTCTTATGTTCTCATCTCTTTCTCATGTTTTTCCATAAATTCACAACGTAACCTAGCAAGCCAACAACTTGTTGGAAACAGAAGATTGATAATGGTGGGGCAGTCTGCCCATCACCCTACTCGAACTCTGAAACTCAAATATCTTGAAGACATCTGTAGTACAATTATGTGTGTTTTTAATTGAAATAGTTTTGAGTTGAATTGTTTATTGTTTATAGTGTTAAGTTATAACTTTGTAACTTCCAAGCAGTTAACCTGTGACATGCTAGCCTGAAGTATCATGATATTGGTGGTTTAGCCTGACAGCTCCTAAACCTGAATGCTGCATCTCCAGTGGTACATGGAGCACACCCCTGGCTGGAGGAGCTAGGTTTGTCAAATTGAGTAGAAAAGCCTCATTCAAACTAGACTCGTGCTAGCTTTGTCTTCTTGTCTGCAAGGTGCCTGCAGGGAAGATAACAAAGAACATTTTTATATTTTTTTGATATAATGGGAAGGGTTATTTGTCACCATGGCAGCTAGCTTATAGCTGCCAAATAAATTTGGCCATATCAGACCCCCAAACCTCAACCAGCCCAGAAGTGAAACAAGTTCCCGGACAGGGCAGGGATGAGTTGGACTGAGACCCAAGCAGGGACTTCTGCCAGTCATGTTCAATCCAGAAAGCAGACATATCACTGGTCAAGGAGCAGAGTGGTGCTAAAACCTTGACCAATCCATTCTCTAGATTAGAGAGTTTTGAACCAACTAGAAGAGTAGGTTCCAAACAATAAAACAGGCTCTCTGACAAACAAGAAGACTCAAGTTGTGGTTTCTGTCTCCCACCCATGACTGGCATGTAACAAATGTACCTGCTGCTGGGGACATAGGAAGATTTGCTGCTTCCCTGCCTTCTGCGGGCACAGCAGCCCTGTATCCACCTGATGGGAAAGCCACCATTCCTGTAGAGTCACTTGTATTTTCAGAGCAATGGAATTGCCACAATGTGGGCCACTGAGGCCATTTCCAAGCAGTGACTCAGTTTCAGACAAGTTTTTTCCTGGCCTGCTTCCTGTTTTCCCACTCTCCTCAAAGCCAAATTTGCCTCCTGCATTAGGAGAACTGGAGAGAGTTTTCTTCCTGCTCCCAAAGTGCAATTCACTGTCTTTCACCACGCCATTCTGGCCCTTGACAGCTTCTTGTGCATTCTATTCTCCCTCAGATGCATTCATGTAAAACAGGCTTTCAGTAAATGTCAAGGTAAGAAATACCTGACTTTCAACATGTTACTCTGTGGTACAATACCTGGGGGTCCCTGCATGTAATTGATGTTTGTCTCCTTTTCCCATGAGGCCATGCTGGTTTTGCCATCTACACCTGGCTGCAGCTTCTCAGCAGCTTCTGCCCAAGGTTTTTGCTCTTGGTTGCTTGGTTTGAGCACTTCATCTTCCAGCTGAGGAGGTATAACCTTATCCTTTCTACTTTCCAAGACTTCACTACTCATATCCCTAACAACTTCATCTAATTAGATTGGCTTAGAATGGAGGCTGGATTAAGTGGCCTTTAGAGGTACCTTCAAATTTAAATCACCCTTCAATTGTGGTGCCTGCAACAGGGATACAAGACTAGGAGTAAATCAAAGTGGATGATCAAGAATGAGGTTAAACATGCAGTAGAGGAGTGTGAGACACCCCTGAGGTGCAAGACAAGGCTGGCAGCTGGGCAATGGAACCACCTGAGAAAGGTTCAACAAGCTGTTTGGTGCCAAGAAGGTTGAGGACAATCTATGATGTTGATCGTCCCCTCAGTACCAAACAGAAAGCAGATAAAGCAATCCAAGCATTTGAAGAAATCACCTGAGCAGAACTGCAGAATTTGGGAAAAGAAATCTAGAACTTTACCTTTAGTAAGGGCAATTTACATCATCAGGATGGGTTACAAATTTAACACTGTGCTTATAAAGATCAGGGACTTCTTTATTTTTCTTGGATGAAAACAGAACAGCAGTTCCATGGAGAACAAAAATGTTAATATGTATTAAACACGGCACAGTCTCTGCATACACAGCACCCTATCAATACAGGAGACAATTAGACAGGCATGGGTAAGGATTTCAATACAGTTGATTTAATTATTTTGTATTTTGACCAGCACAGATTAAAGGTATTTATTTCCTTTCCTTACCAAGTAAAGAAATGCAGATCTACCATTATCAAGTCTAGAAGAGAAGGAACTACTGAGGTAAGGTAAGGTTCATGCTGATTTTGGATGAAGACAGGGTGCAAAACCCATGAGTGACTTCATTAAGAAAATAAAGATTTACAAAAGAATTTACCAATACATAGGCAACAAGGGGAAGAGTGCAGTTATATTTCCAGGGCCAATTGGGCATGGGACATGGGGAGATTTTATGTGAAGGCTTTTTGTTTTCTTTCTAACAAGATGTGATTCTATGAGTGGAAATCATGTTTACGATCCTTTTCATAAGCCTTTAAAGCCACTTGTTGTGTTGGACAATAAGTGGGTTCTTGGCAAAAAAGTAACAAAGGAAGAAGCCTAACAATCATTAGAACAATGCCATAAGAGTATATGTTGTGTGATCCAGAAAAAGGTGATTTCATCTTTGAGGGATACAAGTGAGGTCCAGTGCTCTGCCCTCTCACTGAGGGTAGGGAATGGAGAGCCACACAGCAGCAAGGGCCCGAGGGTTACTGATGTACTAGAAACCACAGAAGCACCTGTGAATGGTCCCTTAGGAATTAGAACTTCTTCCCACAAAAAGGCTGTGGGATCAATATCCCAACTGAATACATTTACACCAATACATGCAATGTGGCCAAAAAACAGGAGGAGCTGGAAGCCCAGGAAGCTGGACATCTTGCAAGGAAGAAATCCTAAAGGTACAGAAACATCCCCATGTGCTGGAAGTTGAGCCAGCAGGGAAAAGACTGGCCTGGCTGGACAGAGAGTTTTGGCTGACAGTCAGGGAAAAAGGAGAGTTCATGACTAGAAGGGGCAGGTGACTCAAGATATTGTGAAATTATGCAGGGAGAAAATTAGAAGGGCCAGAACCCAACTACAACTGAATCTGGCTACTGCTGTTAAAGACAAAAAAAAGATGTTTCTATAAATACATACAGCATCAAAAGGAGAACTTATATCCATTTTTGGAGATGGTGGAAACATAACGACAAAGGATAATATCAGGATATTGAGCGAGACAGGACCACTGGGAGACATCTTAAATCATGATTTATTACTCCTCTTCCACAGTCTCATGAAGGAGTGAGAATGTCTTCACCGTATTTGCCAGATGTTTGTGGTCAGTGGTAACAAGACCACAAGTTACAAGGTCTCTTTAAAGGTTAATTAGCCAATAAACTACTGGCATAAAGAATGTTTCTACTTCCACACCAATAGTTAATTATTTTGTCTTACACATCTTTGCCACAATGCAGACTTTCTTAATCCATCATATAATGACTCACAAAACTACTTGCTACACCTTAATACTTCTTATTATCTTTATAATTTAATTATATATCTTAACTTTAAAACCTTAAAACTTTTCAGTACCTAACTTGATGTTTTTCTATTTAACCTTAAACCCACATTCTTGCTCATGGTCTCTAAATCTGGAGGCCTTT